ATTCTAATTTTCACCATAATGACAAACCTATAATTATATTAATAATTATAACAATGTATAGTATATTTTAAGTAGAAACATATTGCTAATTAATATAATTTTATATTGTTTCTACTTAAAATATACCATAATAAAGGATAACCATGAAAACCTCTGTACATAAATGAGCTTTAAATTTATATAACATTACATTTATAAACAGTAAATTTCCAAGGATTCAAATCCATTTCCACATCTAACATTTGTGACAAACCTGAAACCCAGAAAAAAGCAGAATTCTTTTGGCAAATATGCAGGCTCAGAGACATTACATGATTTATCCTAGCACTTACAAACTACTTTAACATAGTATATTACATGCCAGTTTTAAAAACCAGAGGTAGAGAAAAGCCAGATACTTATTCCGTATGGCTAGAACAAACTAAGCCAACAAAAGTTCAATTTCACAGTAAAAATAAGACAGGTTAGAGAGAAATTAACAAACAGTTAATGCTTGACATATGAAGTATGGGCTTAAAACAACAGAAACTTATATCCTACCTTCCATACCTGAACCACACAAGCACATGTAACCCCAATGACCCTGAATCATCCAGAAAAGGCACATTCAACACCAGAGTATTGGGTATCCTTAACCAAATCTAACATCCTAAATATCAATAGTCTCATTTTAAAGCCTATGTAAAATGGAATTAAATAAACCTAAGTACAATTTCTGTCCATCTGTCTAATGATGTAGTAAATTGGAAGCAAATACAATTTAAAATACTGTACCCATCCTAAGTAGTGTGAATGAACATACCAGCCAGAAATCCTTTCAAGACTGGAGTGAAACTGGACCTTGTCCTTACCTAACTTCAAAATTAACCAACACACACAGAGACATGCATTTAAGACACTGCCAAAAATATTATTTTTAAAATAAAATAATTCATCTATTCATTTATTCTTTCAACAAGTACTTACTACCATGAGGCAGGCCCTGTGTTGGGCAACTTAGTCCTGCTCTATTACAACTTATAGTATAAAGAAGAACAGAAAATATGTAGGGGGACTGAAAGGCCATACTTCAGGATCCTGGTCACAATGGAAAGCCACTGGAACATCTTAATTAATTGAAATAAACTTGCTAACATTTGGTTCTAAAAGATCCCTCAAGCTGCATATAGAGCAAGAATAAGAGTTTGGAAACAAACGACTAGGGGTGATTGAAAGGTGCCAAGGATGATTCAAAGTTTCTGGACTGTACAAGTGCAGTGGGATCAAGACTGGTAGCATAAGGAAAAGGCTCTGCTGATAATGAATTTATAGCCCTTTTGAAGATAAGACACTAGAATTGTTAGGAATGTCTAAACACCAAAGATTCTTAACAAAGAAATACCGTTGTTAAAAAAAAATCTATAGAGTACCTCAGCATGCAGACCATCCGAAGTAAGTATGTGGGTAACAGTCATTTCATTCTTTGTCAGTGTTCCAGTTTTATCTGAACAAATCACATTACAGCAGCCTACAGAATAAACCATTACATGTCACCAAGAGTCAGGGAGAAATAAACAAGTTCACATTAAAAACAAATCAAAGACTCTGGAAGCCTGTCCTGTTTCTCTTAATTTTGTACAAATCAAGCTCACTGATAATTTTAGATTTTCTCTCATTATGCTTTTCACCACCATAAAGTAAGTTCTTAAATTAAAATTAAAAAATAGTGATAAATGTTGACTTTTTCTTATTAACCTGCAACTGAATTCTACAGAGCTTCTCAGTATTAGCTTTATATTATAACTTTATATAATACATTTTCTAGGAAGTTTTAAGGGTACCTAAATATAAACCCATGTAATTTTTTCAGTGAGTAGTTAAGGAATTTGCCTTCTCAATATTATAATGCAAACTAAAAATTCAATTCAATATTTTTGGATTCCTAAATTTTTTAAAGAAGAAGTTTCATAGCAAACATAAAAGTTATATTATAGCAACATTTAGCAACTGTTGTATGTTTATTGTTCTTATCAGCAAATTCAACTGGAATATGACATTCTAGGATCTATGATTATCAATTATCTTCCTTGAGATGTCAAAAGAAAAAAATTCTATTAATTTTACTCCAAGGTTTCATTTGTTCTATAGATTTCTTTTTTACATGATTTAAGCATTAGAACATTGCATGACACAGTAAGATTTCTCTGTAAGTACCCTGTCCTGAAAGATATACACTTCAATTACCTTTCTGGTTCTGAAAACCATACTTAATTTTGCCAAAAGTCAAATACCACTATTCTAGCCTCTCAGACAAAAAATGTACAACCTGAAGATGATTCACTGTTGATGTAAACTAACACACTATTGCATAAGTATGCTCCTATTACCACATACTTACCCAGAGTTTCAACAATAGGCAGTTTTTTCACAATGGCCCTTTTCTTCACCATTCTCATAACACCAAGGGCTAGAGTCACTGTGACCACAATGGGAAGACCTTCAGGAATTGCTGCCACAGCCAAACTGTAACCAATATATACTTAGTATTGAAGTATAAATTAAAGAGTACGTACAGCAATAATTTCAGTGGGCTGTTACTTAAAACAGAGACTAATAAAATATAAAAATAATACCATTAACACTCAAAAATAGCCTCAAGAGAAAGGGAAGGTTGATTACATTTACTGGATACCTATTAGCTGCCAGGTTAAGTGTAGTGGTTGAAGAATGTAGGTTGTGATATCAGATTACCTAGATTTATACCCATGGCTTCACCAATTTTTACCTGTTTGACCCTGAGCTATTATTATTCTACCTCTGTAGTTTAGTTTTCTCATCTATAAATGCAGTTAACAGTAAGAAGTATTCAAACAAAAACTTATACATGACTGTTCATAGCAGCACTATTTACAATGGCCAAAAGATCACTGTAATGTCCATCAACTGATAAATGGGAAATTGTGGTGTATCCATACAATGAAGTATTATTCCACCATAAAAAGAAATGAAGTCTGATACATGTTACAACATGGATGAACCTTGAAGACATTATGCTAAATTAAAGAAGCCAGACACAGGGGAACCTGCGTGACTCAGTCGTTGAGCGTCTGCCTTCGGCTCGGGTCATGGTCCTGGGGTCCTGGGATCGAGCCCCGCATCAGGCTCCCTGCTTGGCGGGAAGCCTGCTTCTCCCTCTCCCACTCCCCCTGCTTGTGTTCCCTCTC